CATATTAATAGGTTATGCTTTTTTTGTAAGTAATAAAAAAAAATCACCAGTAGTAGCAACTACTTTGTTAAAAGAAAAAATAGAAAAGATAAAAAAAGGTCAGCAATAACTGAGGAGAAAAGTTTACTCACCATAAAACAACGAAAAGTTTACATATGGAATGAGAATCAAAGGCTTCATCTATTAAGATTTGTGCTAGGTGAATCGTTCTTTCCTTGTAGTAAGCGTTGTATGTGCATATATATTTTTTAAAAAGTAATTGTATTTCAAATAAAAAAAATACACGTATCGCTTGACCGACCACATGACACATTCCCCAATAAATTTTAATAAAAATGCACAAAGGATAAAACAAAGTTTTAACAATAAGAAATCGAAAAGGGCACGCTAACTATCGAGCACATATTTAGTTCTTTATTAAAGACCTCTATAATTCAATAGAAAACTCTAATTGATTGAGACCAAGACATGTACAACACAAACTTAAAAGAACTGCTAATGCCATTAAAATTTAAGTAAGATTTTTTCAACAAAATTAGATGGATATGAAATCGCCGCAAACTTAAAAGTTCAGAATCTACCCTGCAATTAATCAAAAGATAAGGGTTAATTCGAGAAATGGGTATTTAATTTTGTCGTCAATCTCACTTTAGTTCTTAACTTTTAAAACAACTCAAACTTAACACTAATCTATTAATTTTTTTTTTTGTTTTATTCCTTTTCATCAATTGAGTTTTAAAAACAGAACAAAATACGGATGATATTCAGTTAACATAGTGTTATTTTACATTTTTTGTCACACATGCATATTCCGTGTTATATAATTAAGATACTATTTTTTACAAGCATCACGTGCATATTCTATTATGTTTTTAAACATCTAATTGATGAAAAGAGCTAGAACTAAAACAAACTAATAAATCATGGACGAGTTTGGACTGTTTTAAAAGTTAAGGACCAAAATAAAATTGACTATAAGGTTCAGAAATAATTTGTGAAATTAATAAAAAAAAAGGGTTTAATTGTATTTCTGCATATTAAATTTATTACTATTTGGTAATTTGGATTTCAAACTTTCAAATTGGACAAACAGGACCCTAAATTTGAAAACTTATTGCAACTATGATCCATTAGCTAACCGAAATCAATTAACTTACACAAATGCACCCGAAATTTTTCATTGGTTGGTAAGTGTTGGTTTTCAAAGCGTTTTTGAATATAGAAGCGTGGTATTGCAAATTGTGTATAACAAAAATTCTCATAAATTTTTTTAATACTCTATATATTATATTAATTTATGCAATAATAAATTCATTATATAAATTTATAAAGATAGATACCTAACGAAAGATTAGGCGGATAACTTGACGTCTTTAACCACGAACAGTCCAAGCTCTAAACTTTCTTGAAAAACTCGAATCTTTCTCGTCTAGTCCTTAAAATTTGTAAGACCTAGAGTGTGGGCTCTAATAAAGAACTATCGGATTAGGTCACTTTCTAATTTGTATTCCTTCACTATCAACACATGTATATGAAGAAATTGAGAATTAGAACTTTTCTTCTTTTTTTCTCTCTCTAACTCGGCTATCTTTGGAAAATAGAGAGCAAAAATTCTCTACACCAATTTTTTATTGTCTCATATTTATAGAATACTGGGAGAACCCTTTTGCTATAACTTGAAGAAAAGTAATAAAAAAACTAGTTACTACTATATTTTAATCTCAATAAAATACAATTTCTCATTTAATTTTAGAAAGAAAATTCTCTCTCTTCCCTCTATTATATGGCCGGACACACCACAGGGAGACCTCCTTATGGTTGGCGCAAATTTACAGTAGGAGAGAGAGAAAACTCCTCCTTTATCAAGTTACCAATTTTATCTCAAATTCAAATCTAAATAAAGTCATACTTCACTTTTCTTTTGAATTTGATTGGAAAACTTGTCAAATAAGTAAACCAGATTTCTTAGAGAGCAAGCAGCTCAATCATAGTGAGACTCTACCTGTGTCATACACTCCCTGCACCTCCCTGTGCCTAGGCGTGTGACCTCCTGTGGTCTCACCACAGTGTGTTTCAAAACTAATTTAATTAAATAATCACATTAGTTATTTCGAGTAATATTAAATCTTGATAATTCATCTTATCTTGTAAATATTACAATAATGACGCAGAGACTCATGGACCTATAATTTCAAGCTCTAATAAAATTAATAATTAATTAAACTCTTTAATTAATTAATTCTATTAATTCTAAAAGTTACTCCACTAAAAACTTAGAATTGCACTCTTGAAATTATAGACGTAATTTACTTCTAAGAACTTGAAATGTCCATTCAATATAGTCATTACATCTAGATCAATACTTTATAAATAATTCATAACTAGAGTTAGGCAAAATCTGTTAACCTCTCTAATTACATCTTTATCTTTGAGTATCATTGATTCTCTAATGAATAGTATATTCATAAAACACATTTATAAATATGAGCTCATTACTTATTCAAGTATCGAATCAACTCTCAAAGGAATTATTATTTTTTACTTCTTCAAAAAAGAAGGAATAGATTCCATCTCGTATATAAGCATTCCCGGCTATCCATTTCATTATGTTTTCAAAATACAAGGAATAGGATTTATGATCTTGAAATCCGTACCAAGTAAGTCAAAATATACAAACCTATAAATAGGAGTCTATTAATAACTCAGGATTAATATAATTTCATATATGACAATCGGTAGACTCAAATTTGATTTTCTTTAGAAAATCAAATTCTGTCTGTGTCCTAAATGTACATAATCTTATTATACATAATACACTCATTCAATATCCTTCTATATTAGTGATGCAAATAACACCATTCCATTCTTAATGGGAATGACGTCTATTAGTAATGTTTTAACTAAAGATTCTATAACTTTAATTAAATTCATTAAGAACATTATTTGATTATTATTCTTAAATATTATCCTCTCGCATCAATAATGATGGAATTTTTAATGATATTCATAAAGTATTTAATAATACATGCACATAAATAATGAATAAATTATTTTATTAATTAAATAATAAATATTCTTATTACATCTCATGTTGTAAGGACACTATTCCTAAACAAGTTAGAACTTTTGTCCTTTTTGCTTAAATTCGCTAAAATTTTGATTTTTTTTTTTTTTGCGCTAAACTTATAAGTGACTGCCTAATAAGCGTATTGATAATATTTTTGTTTGACATTAATAAAATTTCATGTTAAATTTTAGATTAAAGTTTAAGTTATAATTAAATTAAGTTCAAGTTTTTAAATGTATTTGTATTGAAACTAAACAAAAATGAACAACAATGCCCTTATTAGGTTATCATTTGCAAGTTAGGTGCAAAAAACAATCAAAAGTTAGCAACTTTGAGCAACAAGGGTTGAAAGTGTCAAAAACTATAAGTTAAGAGTGTTGATTGTTAGAAAAAAAAAAGTTTAAAGATTAAATTACCAAATTTAAAAAATTCAGGAGTGTTTGTACAAAATAGCCTAAGTTAGACCTTGAACTTTTTAAAATTTGGTTTTTCAAATCTTAACTGACATTTTTTAAGAGCCCGTTATTGATTGGACTACATTGCTGAAGATTGCAAAATTTAGGATATTCTAAATGTCAAAATTAAAAGTTTGGGATGCAACATGCAAATGACTTTTAGGGGGCGTTTGGTATGCAGGAATCAGTAGGAATCATATTCTCAGAAAAGTGATGGAGGGTAATATGATTCATAGGAATAATACATTACTGTGTTTGGTTCCATACAATAATCTTTTTTAAATTTCCAGGAATATTACATTATTGTGTTTGGTTGTTTGCATGGAAGAAGATTCATAATAATAATAATAATAATAATAATATTAATAATATTAATAAAAATAAAAATAATATTATTATTATTATTAATAAAAATAAAAATATTAATAAAATATTAATATTAATAAAATAATAATATTAATAATATTAATAATATTAGTAAGCCTTTAATAATACTCTACTAAACTACCAATAGTCAGTTAGGCATTGTTGTTTCTTTTCATCAAGTTCAGGTAGGTTTTTCCTCACACCCTCGCAAGAAATTCTCCTCAAAATCATAAGATGGTCCTTCCATAACTTAAAGTAGAAGACCACAACAAGAATCTAAAGCCAAAATTCTTAAAAGTATACATAAAAGAAGGAACATTAACAGAAGAGGGACGATAACTTACTACGAGGATTAACCAACGGAAGCTTGAGCAGTGCAAAGTGGAACTCATCTTTGGATAGCGTTTGTGTCTGAAACACTCTGGCCAAGATGAACTGTTTGCGGCAGCAGATAGTATTTTATGTTCAGCTCTTCGAAAATCCTTTTAATCTCCATGACTAGTTCAGTTCGTCGTTTGTTCTTCTCTCCATACTCTTGAAACGATATGGTGTGGTTAACATAGAGAGCCATCTTTAACTTGTTGACATTTTCGATCTCAACAACCACCACACTGTGGTTGGGATGCAGAATAATAATAATAATAATAATAATAATAATAATAATAATATTCCCATGATTTTGAGATTCCTGGGAATTTGAATAACACCATGTTGGGTGGTATTCAAATTACCTTAAAATGAGGAAAAGTGAATCTCATGGTAATCACTTTCTTGGGAATCTAAAAATTACAATTCTTGTACCAAATGTGGTAATATTGTAGATTTTTATTCTTATTCTTAAGATTACTGCATATCAAACGCCCCCTTATATATGCGTGCAATTTAACAAAAAAAAAAATTCAAAATCTAGAAATTAAAACCTACTCCTTAATTTCGTATTATTTGGCCCTTAAGATTCCTATTCATCATTATTGCCGAAAACGAGTTTTTTTTTTCTTCTTTTCTTTTTCAGTTACCGTCGAAGGAATCGATATAGCCGGCCCACGTTCAATCCAATAACCCCCACAAAAACAAAACAAAAACTCTTCCACGTAAACCTTGGTTTACTCCAACGCGCCAACAAGACAAATCCACCCATGACCTTCTAAATTCTCTCTCTCTCTCTCTCTCTCTCTCCCTCTCTCTCTATAAAAAATATCAGAAAAACTGATCACAACCCAGAAAATTAATATTGGCAAAATGGTCTTGAAAGACACTACTACTACGAAGAAGGAAAAATATGAGAACAAGAACATGATGAGAAAGGGGAATAATTTGTTCATGTGTTTTAGACCGGTTGTGCTCGAACCGGACGGTTCGGGCAGGGAAATCAACGATCCGTTTCTCACGTACATCGCCGTACAGAGGAACAAGGAAAGCGTTGTGTTTCCCAAAAAAGCGCTGTCGGAAAAAGACGACGAGAAATCTTTGTCGTTCGAAGCAATTAAGGAAGAGGATTTTCCGGCCGGAAAGAAAATTGGCGGCAGTCGTAGGTTTTCCCATGTCTTGAAGGCAGTTTTGTTTGAAGCATCCATGGTAAGTATATATAACTGGCTTTTCAATCTTTCATTTCTCTAAAGTATAATTATCATTTTTGTGCTTTTACATCGGGAACAAATATATATTGCTTGTAATTTATAACTATATGTGTAATATAAATTATTTATTGATATATATATATATATATACACATATATAATCAAATAAACAAATCTCGATGTTTCTTTTGTCAGTAAAGTGAGGTTCTAGGTTTTTTCTTGGGATTACTTTAGATAACTTCCAATTTCCATTTTTCTTCTTCTGAAAAAGAACAATTAATTGAATTTTCTTAGTTTAGTCTTTCATCCCTCTTGTATTATACTATCAGCTTTTGTGTAATATTAACTATATGTTGATTAGTACATGTTCATATAAACAAATCTCGACGTTTCTTTTGTAAGCAAAGTGAACATCTATTTTTGTTTGGTATAAATTTGTTTTCTTTTTTCTTGTGATTATGTAGGTAACCTTCAATTTTTCAATTATTTTATCCTTAAAAAAGTACTATTGATTTTTTTTTTTTTGCGCTTATTTCATTCTTTTTTTTTTTTTTTATGTAATATTGCTGAAACGGTTAAGGTTCAAGTTTTAATATTTCTTTGTGATTAGATCGGATAAGCTTTGTCCAAAATTTTGTAACTTGTTTATCTTTTCAGTTCATGTCACAGACACTTTGTTTACTTTACGCTTTAATTTCTTTTTATCTCATGAAATAAAATAAGAGCTTAAATCATTTTTAAATAATAATAATAATAATAATAATAATAATAATAATAATAATGTGTGGTTTCTATGTGACAGGCTAGGAAGATCAAGAAAGGAAAATCAGATAAAAAGTCATCACATTCATTAAGCGAGAGTGCAAGGTACAGTTATCAAAAGTCTTCACACAAAGACCAATTTGATTTTGATTTTGGCTTTGGCCAAAGAATTATTTCACGTACCGCATCTGCTTTAGCCACATCTCCCTCTGCCTCAACGGCCACGAGTTATTGTCCTTCATGTTCGTCATCCTTGGTCGCCAAACCGACGTCGTTTGCGTCAAACTCAACCGAGTCAAAGCCGACGTACGAAAATGTTAAACAACAATATAGGCAAAGAGGGTATGATACTACTTGTAAGAGTGGTTTGTTCTTAATGCTTATTAGTCTCTTGGTCTTGGTCTTTTGGGGTAAGATTTGTGCTATTGTTTACACTTCGACGTGGTTTTGCTTCGTGGCTCGTTGGATTAATGTTAAGGTCATGACCGATTTGACTGATCCGTCGGAGAATTCGTCGGAGTGCAAGAGGAAGATCGTCATGGAAGGACTTCTGGCAAGGGAACGTGGGAGCTTCCCTTGTTAATAGAAGTACGTGTGGAATAAATAAAAAATAAAGGCAAGGTGTTTCTTAAGAAGTTGCCCCCAAAGCAAGAAGATTAATCAATTGATAATATTATTATTAAATTTCTCCCTTTTTTTTTTTTTTTTGGAGGGGTTCTATTTTGTCCTAGATTTAATTTGTGCTCTTTTATTTTTCTGTCTTTTTCTCTATCTTTAGGAGATGACAATATTTAGCATATAGTTTTCTTTTTGCATTCGTACTTTTTTTATTGAAAACCATGATCAAAATTACGTGCAAAAAATTGCTTGGACAAGAAATTCAGATATTTATATGTGGTGTTATTATTGTAATCTTTCTTTTTATAAATAAATAAATCATTGTTACTCCATCTACTATTCATCGACAAGTTAACTCAAATTGGATACGTAGAGACAATAGTTTGAAATATTTTATTCGATTAGTATATAATTATGTTTCCGTGTAGTTTCTTTTATTAAAATGATTACAAGCTTAATCATATTTGACGTCCTTAAGTCTAGTGGATTAGCTCAAACTTCGGAACTCTAAAATTCACAAAAAGTTAGTGAATGTATTTGTATGCCTATGCACCATATATTGTCATTTAGTGCACGGTTGTATTGTCACGGTAGAAATCTGCGTACGTTGAGAAACATGAAAAATTAAAAATCTGTGTGCGTTGAGAAACATGAAAAATTAGCACTTATCGCCTACTAATATATCCACCGATGGAACAACGTAACCGTTAAAATTAAATCCATATATATATATATATATATAATCAACAAAGGTTAGTGAGTAAACTACTAACTTTGACATAATGCATGGCCGATGATGTAAGAAAGAAGAATTGTATGTTGCCCTGTGTGAAGGTATGGACGCCACGATTTATAAGCTGATGATCATCTTGATGATGTTGCCATGGATACTTGGACCAAATTTGTTTATGCTAATTTATCTTCATTGGTAAAGCAAGCATCCAATAAATATTGAGAAATTACGTGAGCTAGCGGGTTTTGGCCAACGCTTTTAAGAAAATGTCAGAATTTTTCTTTTTGTTTTAGAAAATAAAAAATGACTGTTGATTGATGTCAATCACAGCTGGTTAATCAAACATTTGTGACATCGACCAATCAATACGGTTGCTGATGATTATCAAGACAATTAGTCAATCACCGATTGGCAACTTTTTTTAGATAACAACTGTGTTAATTGGAAAGATACCTAAAATACTCCTGATGTTTTGCTTAAATGTCATTTTTACTCGTCTTATTACATAAATGCTCAAAATGACCTTGTGTTTACAAAATCATACTCAAAAAACCTTTTGATAACAATTAAATTTCTAAAAATACCAAGATTGGCTTCCCAATCCATATCAAATGTGTGTTCAAAAAAATCCATATCAAATGTTACTTTAGATATGCTTTAATTAAATATTTAAATAAAAAAAATTAAAAAATGTTCAATATTCCAATGAACAAATACTGCAACTATTTTGAGAAGTTTTCATTCCTTAAGATTGATTTTAATTAGTATTTTAATTTAATAATATTTTAAATTGTATTTAATAAAGACTGAGAAGGGTAATTTTAATATTTTAAAAAATTTAATTCCTTCAAGAGTATTTTGAATATTATTTTACAAACACATATGGTTTCGGCATTTGCATAATAAAATAAGCAAAAGTATTCTTTGGGTAAAATACAGGGGGTGTTTTGAGTATCATTCCTTCGTATTTTAAGAAAATGAGGGCAAATTATCAAAAGAAGAATCAAATCTGCTGTCTATGGTTGTCTCTCTAATTAAATTTTAATACGTCATAAATTATTTAAGCATTTTTAGTTTTTAGTTCGTATCTAATTTAAATGACATGACAAATAAATAATAAAGGGATAACCAACAAGATAATGAAAACCTCAAATCTAAACTCTTAAAACAATAATTTAAAAGTCTTTTTCCTACATGTCTCTTAAATGTTGTTCTTCTAATCAATATTAGTTGAACCGCATTAATCTCATTGGGGGCACGTGTAGTTTCAAAATTTTCTTTCACTAAATGTAAATTGTTAAACAAAAATAATTATGTCCTTAATTTGTTATGGAAAATATTATATGGGCCATAACTATTTGAGGCTCATTTGGCGTTGTTTCTAAAGGTTGTTTTTAGCCATTTTAAAGAAACTACAACAGATTAGTATGTTTGGTAATTTTTGTTTTTGTTCAACAAATTCTAAAAACTACTTTTAAACAACATAATTTGAGAAGCGGGTTAGGGGTTACTTTTCTACAGTAACTTTTGCTGCTATTATCCAAATTTATGAAGATAGTTTTTATAATAAAACTTAATTCTCAATCGACCTATTTTAATTTTCCATGCTAAATTAAAAAAACATATATTTTTAGAACAGTTATTTAAAAATTGAAAATCTTTAACAAGTATATTAGGCTAAATATTTAAATATTTAGTAGTTATCAAAAATTTAAAATAATAACAATAAATAAGAAACTTAGTAGTGATAATTTTTCCCTATCAATAAAAGTAATTAATTTTTAAGAAATATTTTCATTAAAAATTAAAATTATGTTTTTTTTATATTTTAAATATTGACCATAAAAATAGAAATAAAACTAACTATAAATATATCCTAAAGAATGTCTACTTTTGTTATCATAAATCTCTACTGTAATTTTATACACAGTTCATCAAACACTTAAATTTTTGCCTATTGTATTCACAGCAGTTTTGTAAAAATATTTACCGAACATCTATATGCTTTTGGTCATAATAACTTATTACTAACAACACAACAACCAGCAAAAGTAATGTCAAATTGGCCATTAGTCTAGTGGCATTAGAGCTCATGTAAAATGAGATTTGAGGGAAATTGGGATTTTGTTGTATAAAAAAAAGTATTATATAAATGTGTATGATCCACTAAATAAACACATTATACTTAGTCTTTTCATTTAATAATAGAGAATTTTAACTATGCTCTCATTTACATTTTTATGTATTTTATTTTATGCTCCAGTAGTGCTATTACTTTTACAAGTTCGTTTTCTGATTATGAGAGATACCCACACTGGTGATAGCAAATTCCGCAATTTGTATTTTATTGGGAAGACTTTCCTAACGGAGTAGAGCACTAATTGCGGTGCCAAAGTCCACGAATCTCTAATAAACGCCTTTCCACACGTCAGGACATTTATTTTTGATCCATACATATTTTGGATTATACATATATATACATATAACCAAAGAAACATAACTATTAAAAATTTATCCATATGAGTGTATATATATATGTATGTGTAATGTAGGTATATTACACAACATATTATAACCAAGTGGTTTTACACTAAATCGTTGTATATCACATGGTTATTCTTATCTTATAGGGCCCGGCGGGAAAAAAAAGATGGTTATGCACATGCGGATCCCAACCTTAAAATTAACATAGGGTAATATATGTTTCAAACATATTAAAATATTGCTAACCCGCTTTTGGGTTCAAAATTAAAAAAATAATCTATTAGAATACGTAAGGTCATTTGAACAATAATATATCCGTGTAATGATCCGACTGAATTAGACCGTCATTTAATTTCTTTAAACTTAATTATTAATTTTAATCATTTACTTGGTTCCTTAAATTTCACGTAATAACTTTTTTTAAAAAAAAAAAAACTTCAACTTATTTCAAAAGAATTGGTGTAAAAAATCTAATGTTTTTGCCAGTGAGGAACCAAGTTAGCAAACTTAATGCGGGAAATTATATATATTACTTTAAAAATACAAAATAATCTAATATTTTTTTTAAAAAAGTTTTTTCTTATAAAAATTATAAGATGCATTTTGAGCTTATAAAAAACTATATATATAGTGAAGGTAATTCTAATTTCATAGAGTTAGATGATTGATTAGTGACATTAAGTTTTTAATTTCCTCCTTTTTTGTGTTCATGTTCTTTCCCCAAAATTTCTTTTTTTCTCTGTTACACTATGGTCGAGAGATCGGCCACCCTCTTGAATAACAGACACCGAGGAGTGATCACTGAGGATATGTCGCTGGCGCCGAGGGAACGTCATTATCTACGCCGAGAGATCATGCGCGGGAAGGGGTGCCGGGCGCGATAACTCAGCGCCCGGAGGCCACGGCGCCAGGGTATAACTCTCATCTCTCTCCACCAGCTGTCTTGTCAACTGGAGGAGTGGAGTGCTGATTCGACTGCTACTGCAAAAGTCAGAGGGTCAGGCGGCAGATAGGAAGGATCAGCCGCATTCCCCGGGATAGTCATCATGAAAACCCACCTACTCTCACGATTACCGAGGACGGAGGATGGCTTCCTCCTTGGGAACGGAGAATACACGTTCACATGTAAAGGCCTATAAATAGAGCCAATAAAACCCAGAAAAGGGGTTAGAGATCATTTCATTACAAAAGAAAAGAGTTTGTAACCGGTTGAAAGACTAGTGCATGCACAAGTAGATTAGGCAAAGAATTATTGCCGAACCACTATAAAATCGTTGTCTCCCTTACATTATTTTTCAGTTTTCATCTTTCATTGAGCCGTGAGTGTTTTTGAGAGAGGTAACTACAAGTTGTCGGAAAATCACCGTCAACAATTGGCGCTAGAAGGAGGGCCTGAACCCAGAAAGTTAACCCAGTTTTGAACCAAAAAAGAGTAGCTATGCCTCCCAGGAATGCACGCTTACTATCGGCCAACCCGATAAGCCAGGCGACTCAAAACGCCGCCGCTGCTGGGACCTCCGCAAACTCGCTCCCGCCGGCTGTCGAGAGCCCCCCAGACCGTATCAACCAGCTCCAAAGGCAGGTCGAGATGCTGGCCGCAGCCGTAGAAAGGATGGCTACGGCCCCCGCCGGGCAGAACCCAATGCCGCCGCTCGAAGACGCGCCGATGAACCTGGTGAACGCTGTTGTTGGGGGCCAAGAGATTGGTGACCAACGCAGTGACACCGAGGAGATCGGTGACAGTCGAGCCAATGATCCCCATCCGACCAAGTCAAATAGGTCTGTCGGAAGCAGACAACGGGCGGCACAGAGGAGAGCGCGGGAGAAGGCTGCGGCGCAAGCTGTGAATAACAGGGGCGTGCCCCCTCGAGTAGGAGGAACGCCATCCCCGTCGAGTCTTCATCTGTGCACGGCGGAGACCTCAGGAGGAGGCTCGACGCCCGACGTGGGAAGGCCGTCCAGCGGCCAAGAGAGGAAGAGCTCGCTGTGGATAATAAGGCCTTGGCCGAAAAAATGGCTAGGCTGGAGAGGCAGATTGGGAGTCGATTGAACAACTTCGAACAAGTTATAGGGAAGGTGGCCGAGGCGGTCAATGTCGATGCCAAGATGTACACGTCTCACGACCACCCGTTCACGGAAAACATCATCCGGGTGCCGCTTCCCGACAAGTACAAATCGCCCCCCATCCCGCTATACGATGGAAGGAGTAACCCGGACGACCACTTGGAGGTGTACACAGGACACATGGTTCTGCATGGATACCCCGAGGAGGTTATGTGCCAGGCATTCAGGAATCACCTCTCCGATTCCGCGAGGAGATGGTTCAGATCCCTGAAACCAAACTCCATCACCAATTGGGATGATCTGAAGAACGCCTTTTTGACTCAGTTCATAGGTGTCAAGAAATACATCCCACCAAAACAAAACCTCTCGAGAGTATACCAGGGACCTAACGAGTCCCTGAAGGACTGGATAGCCCGGTTTGGGGAACAGGTCGCCGCCACTGAGGGAATCTCCGATGAAGTGGCCTTGATGGGGGAACTATCGAGCATGAAAAAGGACATCCCCTACAGCACGGACCTCGACCGGAGACCGCCCCACACCTACCAGGAATTCCTGAGAAGGGCGCAGGGGTTTATCAACGCCGAGGAGGCAAAGAAAGCCTTGAAGAGCAAGGCAGCAACCCTTGCCAAGGAAGAGGTGGGGCAGGCGAGCAATCAGAACAACGGCAAGAAGCGCCGAGGTCCCCCTCAGGTGCAAGCAGAGCAAAGGTACAACCCGGCTCCGAGTAATAGGGGCGGCGGCGCCTCGACGAGCCAGGGGGAAAATAAGCGGCCAAAGCTGTGACCCCTACATCCCCTAACTATGGGAATCGAGGACGTCTACCATGAAATCAGTCATCTCCAGGTTCTGCGTCGACCACCACCGCTAAAGTCTGACCTGCCACGGAGGAACGAGAATAAATATTGTCGGTTTCACGGCGAGAACGGGCACACTACGGCTGAGTGCTATGACCTCAGGGACGAGGTCGAGAGGTTGATCCGAGAAGGGAGGCTCAGTTAATACCGAGCCGTCCGTCGGAACAATAACAACAGGCGCAACAGCGACCGGCGAGACGAGCCGATGCATGATAACCCGCCCGAACCTGTCGGAGTAATAAGAACGATCTTCGGCGGGCCATACCTCGGAGGCACCTCCTGACGCACGCAAAAGTAGTACGCCCGAGAGGCAAAAGAGAAGTTCAGTCAGAGGGTGATGAACGTCTCCGGACGCAAGGCTAAGGCAGTGCGATACGAGGATGCCGAGATCACTTTCTCGGAGGCCGACGCACGGGGGGTACATTTCCCCCATAGCGATGCCTTGGTTGTCGAGGCCATGATCGGTAACCATACGGTCTGCCGTATCCTGGTCGACAATGGCAGTTCTGTGGACATCTTGTACGCGGACTGCCTCGACAAGATGGGGCTTCCCCGCTTAAGGCTGCTGAACAGTGCCCAACCTTTATACGGGTTCACGGGGAACAGCGTCATCCCGTAAGGGGCAATCGAGCTGCCTATGACCATTGGAGACCGACCACACACCTCGACTATCATGTCGAAGTTCCTGGTAGTGAAGGGAGGCGACCAATACAACGCGGTCATAGGACGCCCGACGTTGAGGGCCTTGCGGGTGGTAACATCCATCTACCACCAGGTGATGAAGTTCCCCACGCCCAATGAGATCGGCAAAGCTAGAGGAAACCAGTACGAGTCGAGGTTCACTTACTCAGAGACCGTCCGCCAGTATGCCGAGCTGACATAGGTACGGAGAGAGCTGCGGATGGTCAAGACTAGGGCAAAAAGGCTCGATTTGGATCCAAGGTTCCCAGGAGAAGAGCCCGGAACAGGACCAGTCGAGGAACTAATTGAAGTCCCCATCGATGAGAGGGACCCAATGAGAACACTTAGGATAGGCTCGGAGTTGGGATCACAGGCCCGGGAAAGACTGGTTGAGTTTCTGAAGGGGAGCCGCGACTTGTTCGCCTGGACCCATGAGGACATGGAAGGGATAAGCCCCGACATCATGTGTCACAGGCTGAACATCGATGAGAATTTTTCGCCAAAGAGACAGAAGCGTCGACCTATGAACGCCGAAAGATCCGAAGCCCTGCGGGGGGAAGTCGACAAACTCATGAGGAACAACTTCATCCGAGAAGTCTTGTACCCCGAATGGGTGTCAAATCCTATACTGGTAAGAAAGCCAAATGGGGAGTGGCGAACGTGTGTCGACTTCAGCGACTTGAACAAAGCGTGTCCTAAGGACAGCTTCCCACTACCTCGGATTGACCAGCTAGTCGACGCCACGGCAGGACACGAGCTACTGAGCTTCATGGACGCGTACTCTGGGTACAACCAGATACCGATGCTTGACCGTGACGAAAAGCACACGGCGTTTATCACCGACAGAGGGCTCTACTGTTACAGAGTGATGCCCTTCGGTCTTAAGAATGCTGGAGCGACCTACCAACGCCTCGTCAACAAAATGTTCGCAGGGCAGATAGGAAAGACTATGGAGGTCTACGTCGACGATATGCTGGTAAAGAGCATGAAGACCGAAGACCATGAGGAGGACCTGGGAAGGATGTTCGGTGTCCTCAGAACGTACAAAATGAAGCTAAACCCTCGAAAGTGTGCATTCGGCGTCGCTTCAGGGAAGTTCTTAGGTTTCATGGTGAGCAGTCGAGGAATCGAGGCCAATCCCTAAAAGATTCAGGCCTTCCTCGACATGGCATCGCCAAGGAAGCCTAAGGAGGTCCAGAAGTTGACAGGCTGTGTGGCCGCACTTAATAGGTTTATCTCCAAATCCACAGACAAGTGCATACCGTTCTTTGATACCCTGAGGGAAAGCAAGCCGTTTCTATGGACGGAAGAGTGCGAACAGGCGTTCCAACAACTGAAGGAACACATTGGGAAACCCCCTGTGCTGTCCAAACCTGTGACCGGGGAGGTGCTAAGCCTTTATCTGGCGGTCTCGGAGCACGCCGTTAGTTCAGTGTTAATTTGCAGAGAGAAGAAGGTGCAGCTGCCGGTGTATTACACTAGCAAGCGCCTCCTCGACGCGGAGACAAGGTATCCCCAGATGGAAGAGCTCGCCCTCGCGCTAGTTGTGACAGCGAGGAAGTTACGGCACTACTTCCAGGCCCATAGCATTCAGGTCTTGACCAATCACCCCCTCAGGCAGGTGCTACAAAAGCCCGACGCCTCTGGTCGACTCCTTAAATGGTCAATAGAGCTCAGCCAGTTCGACATCGACTATAAACCACGAACCGCTATCAAGGGCCAAGCCCTGGCCGACTTCGTGGCAGAGTTCACAGGGCTACCAGCCGAGGTCGAGGGAGCCGACGAACCACCACGATGGAAGCTCTACGTCGACGGCAGCTCCAACGACAACGGCAGTGGGGCAGGACTGGTGTTACACACACCGGAAGGATACAAGGTCACCTCAGCCGTCAGGTTTGAATTCTCTGCGTCCAATAACGAAGCAGAGTACGAGGCACTACTTGCCGGACTTCGGTTGGCGGAACACTTAAAAGTGGAGAAACTCGATATCTTCAGTGATTCACAGCTCATTGTGAATCAAGTGAGGGCCAGTACCAAACCAGGGATGAGAAGATGGCCGCGTATCTGAAGAAGGTTAAGGAAGCCCTGGGGAAATTCACGACCTATGACATACAGCAGGTGCCAAGGGCAGAGAATAGCAACGCCGACGCCCTCGCCAAGTTGGCGACGTCGAGAGATGCGTTGCTCCTGAACCTGGTACCCGTAGAGGTCTTGAAGACCCCGACCACAGAAAAGTGGTCTGAGGTCACACCCGTGGATTTCCAGCCCAGCTGGATGGACCCGATCATCAGGTACTCGGTCGATGGCGAGCTTCCTGAGGACAGGCAGTATGCCAAAAAGATGAAGTATCAAGCGGCAAGATACAAAATGCACGACAACCTCCTCTATCGCAGGGGGTACTCAACGCCCTTGCTCAGGTGCCTCGGCGCAGAGGAGGCAAATAGGGTACTATCAGATGTGCATGATGGAATTTGCGGGAACCACGCGGGAGGACAATCCCTGGCCTACAAAATATTACGGTAGGGATATTACTGGCCAAGTCTCAAGAAAGATGCGGCCGAGTACGCGAAAAGGTGCGAGAGCTGCGAGAGGTACGCTCCCACCCCTCGACTGCACTCAGCGGACCTAACATCCATACTATCTCCCTGGCCCTTCGCTAAATGGGGGATTGACCTTATTGGCCCCCTGCACAAAACCCCAGGGGGGTACAAGTTCGCTATTGTCGCCGTCGACTACTTCACGAAGTGGGTCAAAGCCGAGCCTTTGACGACCATCTCGGAGGCGAAATGCACAAACTTCATATGGAACAACATTGTGTGCAGGTTCGGTGTGCCGCACTCTCTCGTGTCCGACAACGGGAAGCAGTTCAACAACGACAACACCAGCCAGTTTTGTGAGTTGCTGGGGATACACAAGAACTTTTCCTCTGTCGTGTACCCCCAGTCCAACGGGCAGGTTGAGGCGGTCAACAAGATAATTAAAATCACTCTCAAGCGCCGCCTCGACGCCTACAAAGGGAAATGGGCCGACGAGTTGCCAAAAGTGCTGTGGGCCTACCGAACAACGAGCAGGACTACTACGGGGGAAACCCCATTCTCAATGGCCTATGGGTTCGAAGCAGTCCTGCCAGTCGAGGTGTCCATTCCGACCAACCGGGTGACCCGGTACGAGGAGGATAGGAACGCCGAACTGATGAACTTGGAGCTCGACCTCTTGGAAGAATGGCGAACAGACGCACAGCTACGGCTTGCCGCCTACCAAGCCAGAACCGCCAGGTATTATAATAAGAAGGTCAAGCCAAAGCACTTCGGGGTCGGGGACCTAGTTTTACGGGTGGTAACACCCAACACAAAACCCAAGAACTTCGGAGCCTTGGGACCGACCTGGGAAGGACCCTACAGAATAAAAGAGGTTGTTGCTAATGGGTCGTATCGACTGGCAGAGCTCGACGGTCAAAGCATCAAGCACACTTGGAATGCGGACTAGCTGAAGGTCTACTACCAGTAGCCACGAGGAGCGTCGAGCTAACAAGGAAGACTAAATGTCTTCTACTCTTGTTCTTTCATTCCCAGTTCTGGCAGGCTGAAAAGCCAACTTGTAACTTATACACGAATAAATATACGTCAACATGTCGACCGATTCTTTTTACTTCTTTGCGGGTATGATCATTTTCTACTAACGTCGATACGTCGACGACGATGCGCCAAAAACAAGTCCAAGGCCTTGTTCTTGGCAAGGGGGCAATATGAGCCCCCCCACAAACTTGCAAAAATGGTAGGGCTCTGGCCCAACCGTGCTTGAGCAACTAGCAGATTTCCTACGCTCTTCACATTCTACTATTTACATCGAAGCATTGATAGTGGTGTTCCAGAGCCGACTTCAAAAACTCAACTCTGGCGAGGGGGTATTAAGGCCCAACAGTGAGGCCCCCCAACAAAAAAAAGGTAGTCGAGCCTACACTTAGCAAAAAAAAATTTTCTCCACACAACGTAATAAATGGAATAAGCATAAGTGCATAGAAGAAAAATAAAAATAATAGAAGCTCGTCTTGACCTTATGGCCATTACAAATTATCAAACATATTGTCTGGGCCTCACGGCCCTGCAAAAAAAAAAAAAAAAAACTACACAACAGAAGGCCCCGGCTGAAGTCCCCTCCTTACTCGCCGTCGCCCTCCGCTGCCTGCTCCGCACCGCTGGGCGCTTGGTCGATACCTTCGGCCCCCTGCGCCGGCTCGACCACCTCCACGCCCTCACTGTCGGACTCGTCCAAGAAGGATAGGTCGACGTCTTGACGTTTCTTGCAGAAGCGGTCGAGGATTTGTTCCCCCGCGGACTGCATCAGGGATAGTTGAAACTCTTCGAATTCGGCGGAGACCTGGTAGGCCTCGAGCCTTTGGTTGACGAGCTCCTCGAAGGTCGTCGAGGATTTGAATTGCTGCACGTGGCCTTCGATTAAGTCTTTGAGCTCCTGGGACTCTTTGAAGGCGTCAAGCCTGGCGTCGACCACGCGGCGGAAGTCCTCGGAGGCCAGGAAGTCCGAGATGGCTTTGGAAGCGATCTCTTTTTGCCGCTGCAGGAACTCCGGAGATGAGAGGTATGCCTCGACCCCCTTAGAGCTCCCCTCCTTAAGGCCTTCCTCGTAGCTGCTGGACTTCTCGTTGGAGATACTATCCTTGAGGGACTGCACCTTTGCCTTCTCGACCTCCATGTCCGTCGAGAGTTCATCTCGAACCGCACGAAGGGCAGTAATCTCCTTCTCGGCGGCCGCCGACGTCCTCTCCCCCTTGAGATGGGTCTCCAGCTCTACGTAATTCTGAAGAGCAAGCTCGAGGGCCTGAATTCCAAAGGGAAGAAAGAATGCGGTCAAGATGGATAAACCCAAACAAAAAGAAAAGGACTACTGCATACAAGAAAAAGTAGTGACGAGAGTCGAGGTCAAGGCTTACCGAGAGTTGACGCTTCACAGTCAGGCGCTGCCGGTCCAGAATACTCTCCCCGGCATAAACATCCCAGGTGTCCTCATGGAAGAAGGTGTATATGGCTTGCAGAGGAAGGCTGAAGCGAGGCGGGAGGCGCAGAGCATGAGTGAAATCAAGGTCGACAACGTCGGGCACAAGGAACAAGGGGTCATCAACCTTCGACCCCGGAAGCAGGACAGGCTCAGGGGGAGGGGGCGAAACCGCCAGGTTCACCGCGACCTCGGCACCTTTGTTCCTCTCGAGGCGCCGACCTTGCCTGGAAGTCCCCACGACTACGGGAGGCACTCGTGGCCCTGTCACCTTTTGCCTCTTCAGGGCGGGGGGTTCGACCACGACTACCCCCTTTCTAGGGGTCACATTGACGCCCGGCGAGACAACTGCCTCGACTGTGCGCTGGCTCGACGTCCCGCTCGATCCCGCGCCAGTCGTGCTCTTCTTTGGCTTGACGAGGATGCTGTACTTCATCTCGGATGGCACGGCTACGCGGTATGGAAGAGACCGAATTAGGGATACCTCGACTACACCCCTGGGTCTTTGCTAAAGAAATTAAAGGGGAAGAACAAACCTACCGTCGAGGAGATCCACCGGAGGGACTACGGGTCGACTCAGGCGAGGAAGATCTATGATAAGGTCGTGCAGCAGGCAGTTCTTCTTAGTGTTGAGAACTGAGGCACGTCGACGATCGGGAGAAAGGGACAATATCTTCTCGACGCGACCGAGAGCGGCTGAGGAGAGCCTTGGGCGATCGACTTTGTCACCTACAAGTGGCAAACAGTAAGTAACAAAAACCTCGACAACGGCACAAAAATCTTGAAAGTAAGGGAAAGCAGAGGGGACCTACAGTATTTGCTGAATACTGTCTGAGTCCCTAACGGTTGCTCGCTGTCGAGGGGGTGAGAGTTGAAATTCCCCCCGAGGAAGAAAAATTGGGGCTTCCACCCGTAAGCGCTAGTGGTCTTCCCGACGACCACGGGGGGGACAGGAGGTTTGGACTTAGCGTGAGAGGCTATGTAAAAGAATCCCTGTTGGTTAGGCGAGGCCCGGAGGGAGTAGCAGTGCAAGAATTCGTTGACGGTTAGATCGAGGCTCAAAAATTTCCTCCATAGTATGATCATGGAGTTTATAATTACCCAACAATTGGGAGACAACTGTGCGGGAGAGATCCTGTGGAGGCTGCAGAGGGCCTTCACGAACGGATGGAAGGGCAGAGTTAGCCCGAAGGTAAGCGCTCTGGTATACACAATCATGTGACCACGGGGAGGGTTATGAGCCATGTCGGTGGGGGTCGGAATGATAAGGTAAAAGTGCTGGGGGTCAATCCCTACGTCGGTGAACGTCTTCCTAGCGGCGTGGGGCCTAATCTTCGATGGGTCGAGGTCCGTCGCCAGCCCCGAAAAAGTATTCGTCGGTGCCGCCCCATACCCTCGGTCCCCAGGGGAACCGGGATGTGAGTCAACACCTTTATCGTCGAGGAGTACGAGCACATCCTTCTGAGAGGTTGAGGCTGATGCCTCAGTGTACTCCTCGACTTGACCAAGTAAGGAATCCGCGCTTCCACCCGAAGATGTGCTCGAAGTCGCGACATCTTCAGGATCTTCTCTGACCCTGTACCCGGAGACCTTTCGACCTCTAGCCTGCTTCGGTGACATGTTCTGGAAAAAGGCAAACAAGGGGGCGAGTTAGCTCCTAGTGGTCGAGAGGCCAAAAGTGCAAGGCAGGAGGACGAGTAGAATGTGCCGCGAGGCCCAGAGGCACGAAGCCAAGTTCGGCGGCCTCAGTGGCGATTAGACGGGTCAAGCAGTGTAGGCTCCGCCGTCGGCACAATGCCGGCGGCACCAGGCAAGACCACGTCCCCTCCTCACAGTGTGTTTTGATGCAACTATCGCAAACAATAGGACCGGACCTACGGGAAGAGCAAGGGGAATGAAGACTTACTGAATTCTGAGATCAAAAGACGGTCCGAATGAGGAAGGATGCACGGAAGCAAGAGCTCGGGTGAAAATCTGGCTGAGTAACGGCGCCTAGAAAGCTCAGTGGTCAGGAAAATGGAGGCATGGGGGTATATATACCCGCCAGAGGAGAAGTCTGTAGGTCCCTGAGGAGTCCAAAGGGTTCCAGATCTCGATCGTAGGATCGGATTTGGTCTCATCCGACGGTAGATCCGAGAAGGCGTGATCGGACGGTCGGGGAGGGAGCAACGGTAAAGAACTTGATTTGACGGTGACGATTCACCCCTCCAGCTCCACGTGGTGCTAGGGAAACAGGGACGTGACAGTTGATACAATCGACGTGACCGCTCCACTGCCCGAGAAACCAATCGCAATGATGCCCTGTGCCTTCGAACAACTGCCCCTACCCACAGAAAGCCCTATCTCCACGTGGCATTCTCGACGCTACATAGCCCGGAAAGTCGCGTCACGATGTTCAGGCCTAGGGGGTAATTGTTACACCATGGTCGAGAGATCGGCCACCCTCTTGAATAACAGACGCCGAGGAGTGCTCGCTGAGGATCTGTCGCTGGCGCCGAGGGAACGTCATTATCTACGCCGAGAGATCATGTGCGGGAAGGGGCGCCGGGCGCGATAACTCAGCGCCCGGAGGCCACGACGCCGGGGTATAACTCTCGTCTCTCTCCACCGGCCGTCTTGTCAACTGGAGGAGTGGAGTGCTGATTCGACTGCTACTGTAAAAGTCAGAGGGTCAGACGGCAGATAGGAAGGATCAACCGCATTCCCCGGGATAGTCATCATGAAAACCCACCTACTCTCACGATTACCGAGGACAGAGGATGGCTTCCTCCTTAGGAACGGAGAATACACGTTCACATGTAAAGGCCTATAAATAGAGCCAATAAAACCCAAAAAAGGGGTTAGAGATCATTTCATTACAAAAGAAAAGAGTTTGTAACCGGTTGAAAGACTAGTGCATACACAAGTGGATTAGACAAAGAATTATTGCCGAACCACTATAAAATCGTTGTCTCCTTTACATTATTTTTCAGTTTTCATCTTTCATTGAGCCGTGAGTGTTTTTGAGAGAGATAACTACGAGTTGTCGGAAAACCACCGTCAACATTCTCTTATATGATTCTTTTTTGCTCTGAATTCTCTTATGTGATTCTATTTATATCTCTTTTGTGTTTCTCTTTCTTCTTCTTGGTTCTATTATTCTCTCTAAATTCTATTTCTATTCTACATGAGAACCCAGTCACCACTTACATTTTGTTTAAGAGGACATTTTTGTCCATTAGAGCATATTTTGATTCTTGAGCAATCGAGCCTTTAACCAAGGAGAGAAAATCGAATGGGTTGAATTAATTTTTAAGCTTTGTCAACCCACCCAATTAAGTTTGACTGTGTTCATTTTAATCTACTTAATCAATCCATTCGATTAAAGTCGGCTTAGGTTGAGTGGGTTGAAAATTATTAAAAATAACAACAAATAACTAGCAATTCAATCTAAGATAATTAAGAAATAAAGAAATAATAGCTAAATTTTATCACATATGGGTCAAACATCATTTCAATATTGTCTCGTAAGTCATAAACCAACATAAAACATAATAATTGAAATAAATTAGTCATAAACTATAACAAAATTTAAGGAATATATATTATTAAAAAAACATATATAAGATGTCAAATGGAGAAATCTTGATAAATACTTCTTAAAAGAGCATGTGTCTTGATTTTTACCCCTTATTCTTAATTAATACATTTTTAATCAAATAACTATATTAACAAAAGGACACTAATTAATAGTAAAGGGTAAAAATCTAGACTCATGCACTTTTAAATGTAAGTTCAACAATTTTTTTTATAAAATTTTATGACTCGGGTCGTATTTACAACAGCTGACACGTTGCTAAAAATTGATTTTTATAATTTGGGCAAATCACCCTTTAATCTTTATAAGTTGTTACAATGTGTCCAATTTTACTTAGCTTCTTATTAAATTAGGGGACGTTTGGTTCGTGGATTAGAATCATGTGATTAGAACAATTTTTTATTTACGTGTATTTTTTGTGAGAGAAAATACTGTAGTGAACCATGAACCATGATTCAAATCATAGTTTGAATCCTCCGACCAAACATCCCCTTAGTGATGAAAACGCCCTGCGCGTCTAACCAAAAAATTCAAATCTAATTCAACTCTAGAGCGTGTTTACTAATTAAGAATTAAAAGAATAGAAAATAAATATTAAGAAAAAAGGAATTGAGTTTCATAAAATTAAATTCCATAATTCTATTAAAATGTTTACTCTATTAAGGAATTAAGTAATGTAGTATGTGATACATAGGAACAAATAAGTCCATATCTGCTGTCTTTTTTTTTTTTTTTTGTCTCATTAACTATTTCTCTAATACTTATATAACATGTCATTTAAATTAATAATTTGATCTTATATTTAAAAACTAAAAACTAAAAATTCTTCAATAATTCTTGAGGTGTTAAAATTCAACTAGAGACACTAATAACGCGGAAAAATGGGACAACATACCTCAATTTGAGACAAGTTGTCAAAAATCCAAAAATTTAGGGGACAACAACTAACCAATATCGCTCTAACATGGAAAAATGAAACGGAGAGGGGAAGACTCATTTCCCGGGCAAACAAGCTCAAACAGCCAACAATGGTGGCCACCACAACCACCAAGCTCTTCCTCAGACCACCCCACTCTCTTCCTCTCTTCTTCTCCCTCTTCCCCAAACCCCCTTCTTCTCTCGGAAAACTCCCACTCTCCTTCTCTTCCCTTTCCATCGCCGCCGCCGCCGTTCCTTACGGCCCCTCCCTCCGCAAGGGCACGTTCCCTTCATTCCCTGAACCCGATTCCAGAACCTTCCAGAACCAATCCGAACGCAGCGACGACGGCGATTACCCCCTCGACGAAGAGCGTTTCACGAGAGTCTTCGACGTCGCGGCTCTCCGAGTCCCTTCCCGAGACTGCTTCGCGCTCGAGAGCCGCCTCCGGGGCCACCTCCTCAACTGGCCTAGGGTTCGCAACATCGTCAGAATCCCCGGGGACGACGTCGACGAGGAGATGGCAGAGCTCGTCGGAGAAAGGGGCGGAGAATTTGAAATTGAAGATGCTACGGTTTCGCTGAGTCGGCGAATTTACGGGAAAGCGGAGGGCGACGGCGGCGAATTGAGTCCGGTCCTGCGGAGGGAGGAGATGGCGAAGAATTTCGATTCACGGGGATTCCTGAATTTTCGGAGCTTGGCGAGGATGACGAGGCCGAGGAGGAGGAGGAAGAGGAGGGAGGAAGGGAAGAGGAGGATTGGGAGGAGTGGGTTTGCGGTTGTGGAGGTTGTGGAAGAAGATGAAGATGAAGATGATGAAGAAGATTTGAAGGGGTTGTTGGGAGAAGAGTTGAAAAGAAGGAAATGGAGGGGTCCGACGAGGTTGCTGCTTTTGGACGAGAGGTATTCGACGAAATGCGTGGATGAGTTGCCCCAGGCAATCAAGGTGTTATGCTCGTGAGTTGATTGTTTTTAGCAAGTTGTTCATACTTCCACTTGTTTGGTATATACATACACACATACACACATACACACATACATACATACACCTTGAACTTACGTTTTTTTTTTTCGATTTGAATTCAGAGCTTTTAGTTTTAGTAAATGAGACACTAGACTTGAATTATATCTTTTAGACAAATAGACAATTTTTTTTTTTCTTAGATGCAAGTTAGACTAGATTTTTTATTTTTGCATTTGAGTTCATTGTTTGACGGCGGTTAGAATGACGTTCGGGCCAAAAGATGACCCTTTCGCCTTAAGTTGGACAAACTTTGAATATCCATTGTAACTTTGGTTGAATAACTTACGGCGTCAATTAATGGATGGCAGTGTCCCATAATTTTTGCGTAAGTGCACTTGAAAGGTAAGTTATGGACTATATTTTTTGATTTTAACATTTGAGATCGTAGTGCCAATCATTGTTCGACTGCTGCTAAAATGACCCCTGGGACGAAAAAAAAGAGAGATCCTTTGCCCTGAAGTTGAGTTTCATGGTTACAAACTTTTGTCAAATTGATTTTCAACATTGAGAAGTGGGTTTGACGTATCAGTATGGCATACTTTTCTATTTATTTCACATCTGTCTAACGTTTTTTAAAATGATAATACTTGTGATAACATTATTGTTCTTATCCTATTCTTCAGGCTGTGCTAAAGGAGAATGCCACGGAATCGACCTTTGAGGTTGTGAGATGCAAGCTTACTTTGTTCTATGATTACTGGCAGATGAACGAGGTATTTCACTCATTAGTTGTTTTACGTTCTATGTGTATGTACCGTTGTTTCTGTCTCGTAATCTTCATTAGGTCACTTCTCAAGAAATTACCAAGCTGAAGTGTTGAACTTGGAGAAACATCAATGAGGGGACTGGCTTATAAAGGATCCATTTACTATTCTTATTAGCGCGTCCACTAATAAGATTATACACAGGATGTCTAACCTGTAAATCAGAGTAACAAGATGAGTTGATAACTGCTAAAGCTTACAGAATTTATTTCCTGTAGATTTTGGAGGCTCTGCTGCCTGAGGGCATGATTGTTCCTTCAGCATTTGAGACAGTTGGACATATTGCGCATCTGAACCTGAGAGATGAACATGTACCCTACAAAAAGCTTATAGCAAAGGTGCTCAACTTTGTGAAAGAATTTTCATTTTTAACAATTTATAAACTGCTGATAATAATCAATTGCCTCCTTTCTCTTACAGGTGATTCTTGATAAAAATAAGCCAAAGATTCAAACAGTGGTCAATAAGATCGATGCGATTCATAATGACTACAGAACAATGCAGCTTGAGGTTTTAGGTGGAAATCAATCCCTTGTGACTACAGTAGTGGAGAACGGGTTGCGGTTTCATGTTGATTTAGCATCAGTGTGTGTTATCCTTTTCTTTTAATCTATTGGAAGAATTAACTGTATCTTTTCAAGTTTATTTTCCAAGATGTCAAGTAGTATCATAACATGCGTGGAAAAAGCTTTGTTCTCATGTAGTTGTAGCCTACCTAAAAAATTCATGAGTTGGCACCTCCACACTTTTGCCACGCACACATAATTAACACTCTTTTCCCCTTTTTATAATTATGATTACAACAATTATAAACACTTTTCATTTGAGATAGTTTTGCAATGCTATTCTGTTGCCCACGGACATAGAAAAAGCTGGCCCCGATCTATAGTATTGACGGTAGGCAGTGTGCTTTGGTTTAAGATGTATGGTATATGATATTCGCAGTTAAACTAAAGTTGTATGAGAAGTCTACTCTGTGAGTTTCTTTTAATTTATTTACTTGGGAGAACCATATCTTAGGGTCTGAGGGTCTTATTCTTCTACATTATTTGTGCAGGTATTGGAATTCAAGGCTCGCAACGGAAAGACAGAGACTTTTAAATGGCTTTACACGAAAAGATGTTGTCTGTAAGTTCCATAGCTTTTCTCCTGGTTCTGCATAGCGTCTGGGTTACTTTATACTTTCTGGGCCTATATACAGTGAATCTTTTATTTTCTACCTTTTTTTAGGTGTAACAGATGTGGAAAGTAGTATGCGAGTATAAAATACAACTATATGTATAAACAAAAAGGCGGTTAAGATTTTTTATTTTTATTTCCGCAACTTCATAATTTACTATAAGTGTCACTGTTGTCCTTCATGACCATTAGCTTGACACATAAGGTCTTGCTTGACAGGTGATGTTTTCTCTGGGGTTGGTCCAATAGCGATATCAGCGGCAAAGATTGTAAAAAGAGTATATGCTAATGATTTGAATCCTCATGCAATTGAATATTTGGAAAGAAATAGCGTTCTCAACAAACTTGAAAGGAAGATTAAGGTATGAAGTAGCTGCAAATTATAAGACTTATTTTTCTTTATGTTCTAAGAGAAATTATGTAAACTTTGATTACTTAAGAATCAAGAAGGCAGAACCGATGAACTTGAAATAGTGATAAGTCAACTTTGAAAGTTACCCTAGACTTCCACTAATTGGCGTGTTTGATATTTGATTTCATTTAGCATTATCCAAAGAGATTATCGGAAAGAACTAGTTTTGTTGCAAAAATTGGTTCAAAATTCAAGTGTGTGAAAGAACTAGAACTAGTTTGTTTTTTCTTATTCTTAAGCCGTGTCTGTATTTTAATGTATAATCTTTATATTTCTACCACCAGCAACTCTCCAATCAATATATAGATTACTATGTAACTGATAGATATCTCTAAAGCAGAGATTATATTTGGCATGAGCTTGTCTCTGTGTTTGTTTGTAATTGCTGTGTTTTCCGCTGATTAGGTCTTCAACATGGATGGAAGGAGATTCATCATCTCAATGTTTTCAAGTGAGAAGGCCTCTTCAATTACACAAGTAGTTATGAATTTGCCCAATGACGCTGTAGAGTTTCTAGGTTCGTTTTCCTTGACAAAAGAAAAAAACAAAAATGAAAAAAAAAAATCTGTTTTTTCTTTTAGTTGCTTCTTCTAGGAAGTGTTCATCTAAAACCCGGTACTTTTGTTAGTCTAATAATACTCCTAAGTATGCTTCTATAGATCATTAAAAAGCTTACTTAGTACTCTGTCATAGACGTAAAAATGGTATACTATTACATGAGTTTACCTGCTAATTTCCAACTCTCTATGTCTGCTGTGTGTGTTTACTTTCCTGCAAACAGATGCATTTTGGGGAATCTTAAGAGGTAGAACTCAAGAGAAAGAGTTTCCACTACCAATGATCCATGTTTACGGATTCTCTAAAGCTCGAGATCCCGAGTTTGATTTTCATGAGGTTTGGCCTCGAAATTTTGCTTCATTTTTTTTTTCTCTTTGGTTTGTTCCTCGTGTTTCTTTCATCACTAACGATTGTTATTAATCAATAATTCAGAGAATAAGAATTGCGCTGTCTGAAGTTGCGGTCGATGTAGAAATGCGAAGGGTTCGCCTTGTTGCACCCGGAAAATGGATGTTGTGTGCATCGTTCATCCTCCCAAAGAGTGTAGCTTTTGCAAAACCCATGCATGATATGTAATTTAGGTTGGTAACATATAGGTTCTCAAATTTTCTATGTTGTCATCTAGTTCATGATTCATCCAATACTAATGTTGTAAATTTGTAATTTCCTTCCTATCAATGCTTTCTCTCCTCTCTCTCTCTTTCTCATCATTAGTTTTGTTTTGATCTTCTAAGTAATTTTCTATATACTAATTTATTTTCAATAAATTAATTTTCCATTGAGCTGTGAAGATTTTTATCTTGCTTTTGCCCCACAAGTGTATACCCTTTTCAATTCAAGCGGAGGGTTAGAAATTCTTCTATTTTTATGGAAGGACCACTACTAATTTATTATTAATTTTGATATAAAATATATATATATATATATATAACTGGTATTGAAATTAAGGAACATAAATCCAACCTGATGGAGGAAAAGGGACTTCAACATGCAAGATTCATATCATTACTTTTTTTTCCCCTCTAATTTCCAAATTATTTATGTTGTTAGCAAGGATGCAGAAAGAAAAGAAAAAAAAAAAAAGCAATTAGGGGTTTTCTAATTTTTTTTAAACAAGCTCAAAGTCAATTTTTTATTTTATTTTTTTAGGAAATTTTATTTGTTTGAACAGGCTGCATAAGTGGCCTGCGCCTTATGGCACCCAGACACCTTTCAGACAAATCTTGCTTTATGTCTGAGTCTTTGTTTTGTACTAATTTTTTTGCAGTGCCAACACAACTAACAGGTGACAGCGACATTTTTTTTTTTTTGGCATGCAAAATACACTAAAGTGTACAATCAATGCAGTAGAAACCGAATATTTGTTACACAGATTTGTCCTGCTTGGACGGCCCAGATTCATCCCCAGCCTCTACATGATGCTCATCAGGGCCCTCCATAAATCTTAAACAGTAAGACATGTACTAGATATTAGTGTAGTGGCCCCACTGCCCCATGTCATATGGGACACTCTAGTCTCTAGCCATGACTTGGGGATGGGGACAAATTGGTCTATTTGGGGATGGTAGGTGAGGACTAAATTGTAATTTCAAGTGAAAAAGAACACAAAGAGAAGACTAGCAAATCTCAGTTCAGATTGAGATCTAAATAATTATATCTCCTTGGTGGTCCTTATTCTATGACTGTTTTATTGGTATACAAAATGTGAATTGGGGGATCTTTTGCTATTTTGCTGAAAAATGGTTAGGTTTTTCACAAGTTGCATAAAGCCAGAACTAACAGTTACTCTAACTACTGCTTTCCTTATAGCAACCTGCAGGAAACTTTAATTCTCCTCTTACACATGTGTCTCTTCTTTAGGCCTGATTTCACTTAAGACTCTAGAAGTACATATATTAATTCCTTTCAAATACACACACATATATGATATATAAGATATGATATACGATATATATAAATATAATCCAAAAAACCAACGGGGGTTTTTTTTTTTTTTTTTTTTTTTTTTTTTTTTTTTTTCATACAAGAGGTAATTTCTCTTTATCCCAATTAATAGTGATGTGTCTATGGAAAATTGATAAAACGGACTCAACAAATTCAATCAAACCCTCTAACAGAATATTAATTGTTATCATTTTCATGACAAAAGAAAGGAGCTTTCTACGGTAGGCAATGTCCTATCGTATTGTATGTTTTTTAAAACTTTAAAATTAGGCAAATAGTCAAAATCACATAAGAACGATAAAAGTATACAAAACTGATATAACTTGATATAAATTTATTGGTTCAAAATAGAGCATTATCGATCGAGCATGTTTATCATATCCTGAATGTAAAAATCTCAAAAAAAAAAAAATAAAGAAAAATTTTGATTAAATCAGCTTAGTTATATTGAATATGAATGGCTAAAGCAATAAATTCAGATAAAAAACAAATCTTTCAACAAGATTGGCAGGAACATGGGAACCCAATGCATACATGAAACAACTTTTACAACCTGTGCAAACAAACGTGTGAATTGGTCCCCACAGGAACACACACACACACAAGCCAATATTTGATTCTAGTAAAAGAACTAATAGCTGCAGCAAAATAACATAGCCAATTAGGCCTTAATAAAAACGAAAAAAGAAAAAAAAAAAAACCGAGGCTCAGATCCCAAAGCCCTAATCATTCCACGCAGAGCACAATCTGCTTCACAGAACCCGAGAATCCACAATGCCTGCCCAAACCCAGCAAACCAAAAATTAAAAATAATAATAATAAAAAAAAAAGGATCCCAAAGCCCTAATCATTCCACGCAGAGCACAATCTGCTTCACAGAACCGGAGAATCCACAATGCCTGCCCAAACCCAGCAAACCAAAAAATAAAAAAAATGATAAAAAAATAAAAAACCAATTCAATAAATCAACAAATAATATAATATTACAAACCAACGCAAAAGGCATCCTCACACGTCCCAGAAAAACTCTCTCTCTCTCTCTCTCTCGGTCCCTTTGCAGCCGCTATTTTCCGTACAATTCCTTTCTCTCTCCCCTCGTACCCCTACAACACAACCCGCTTAGTGGGCCCCACTAGAGGTGGGTCCCACCCCTGGATCCTCTCTCCGGGGTCTGAATCCGGGGCGATGAAGGCCCACAAATGGAAAGTGGGAGCCACTTTGCTAATGTGGCGTGCCATGATTGGTTGTAAGTTATCATATAATTTTTTTTTTTTTGAAACAAAAAAGCTTAGGACGGCGCGGGTGTTTCGTACACAAGCCTGTGGAGCATTGAGATCGTAACCGAATCCTATCGGACACGCGTCGGTTTGGTCACGCGTTTGGACCTTTTTATCAGAACGTCCATGACCAAACACACGCCCGTGCTACCCACGCGCTTCCTAAAAAATCCCAAAATCTTTGGTTGTTGTATACTCTTCTCCTGTGCACATTGTTATCCGAGTAATTTTAGATATTTTGGTTAATTTGTTTCAACACGCATTTACTGAAGTATCTTTAGGTAGGGATTTGGAGGGTCAATGACTTTGTAGGTGCTGGATTTGAGGAATTTGAATAAGATTTATAGGAGTCTAGAGTGGTGGGGTTTCCTGTTTTGGTCTGTAAGCTGGTTGTGACTTGTGAGGCTCTAATTATGATAATTACTTAAATTGTTTTAGGCCTAGTTTGAGAATATGGCTCTCTTAATTTTACCGATTCGAGTTTTGTTACAGTAAACAATTTTTAAAAATAATTACATTTAATTTTTTTGTACAGTAAAAAACTCTCACATAAAATCACATCACAACTCGAATTAAAAACTCAAATCAATAAACTAAACGGGCCATATATATATGTGAATAAGTTTTTAATAGTTGACGATATTATGATGCTCACTGATTAACAACTAAAACCATTATATATAGGCATAGTCTTAAGTTCAATAATTGTAAAGTTTGATAAGTATAATTTTTTTATGCATGTGTAATATTGTTATATTTTTGTGTAACATTTAATTTAATTAAATGTAAAAGTTAATGTTACATGTGTTAGACTATATTATTAAATGTTACAATAAAACAAACCGAGTATTAAATCATGTACGGCCGATGTTACACAAGCCTACGAAAAAAGTTACACATACCCGATTGGTTCATATACTGAAACGTAAGACATGCATGTATGTATGCGTATGTATATATGTATAAGTGTACACATATATATCATTATATGAAAGATGTTGATTGAGACACACAAGACTCCTATTGAGAGTAACAACATTCTTCATGAAGTAAAATCATGAAAACTACAAGAGAGTCTTAAGTAAAGTTAAGGTATTGGATTTTCAAGTTTTCTATGAGTTTCAACATTGTTAGGGAAAAGAAGCAAAAAGAAGAGAGAAGGCTCATTCAATTTTGGAATGTAGTTGTTTGAAGATGAATATGATAGCCGAAGACTTGAGGGCGTATGATGAGCTTCCTTTTCATATCCTTCTTTCATTTTTCTCTGTTATGCAATATGGCCAAACCGCGTGAAGAATTCAACCGGGTTAGAGCTTTGATTGTCGAAAAGAAGTGCTTATGGAATTCGACTTGACCGATTGAGTTTTGTTGTTTTCTTTATTTTAGACTAACTATCAAAAAGAACTGCTTCTATAGCCTCCCTCAAAATAAAAGGTCAACATCTCATAGCATTCCAAACATCACATGCTGTTGCTTACATAATATCTCTTCAATAAAGAAATCCATTTAATTTAAGATCTTAAAGAAACTTTTAACTCAAGATTTATATATTTGTTGGCCCCTTTGTATGGGTGGTTAGGGTCTAGTTCCTATGTTGGCAAGACAAATTGACAATATTCATGTCTTCTTCCCCAGTCCTTTTCAGACCCAAAGGTAGATAACTTATTGTAACCCTTTTGAAGTTCACTAGCATCATTTTGCACAATTGAGAATAGTTTTTTTTTTTTTTTTTTTTTTTTTTTTTTTTTTTTTTTTTTTTTTTTTTTTTTTTAATAGAGACGAGAATAATGATTTTTGCACTATATTGAAAGTAGTGATTTTTTTAAAGATAAATTTTATTTAACTAAAAACTCTTACAGACACTCATGCCGTGTTTGGAGTTGTTCTTGTTTTTATTTTTCACGTTTTTTGAGAAAGAAAAAATGAAAACGATTCCAAAACGGCATTTGACACAATTAAAGATAAAAAACAGAAATGAAAATGATTTTTTAGTTTAGTGTAAAATGAGAGAGAAACGAAAAATGACTTTTACTCGTTTTTCATTTTTTGTTTTCATTTTGTCCTCATCTCTGTCTGAGATTGAAAACTTTTTCATTTCTATTTTCATACAAAAAACAAAATCATTTTGGAACGAGTTCCTAACGTACCCTCAATAACCGGTTTTATTAGTAAATTCTGATGAAGAACAAAGAAAATAATGCACGAAGAGACACTAATATCAGGAAACTTCCTCAACGTGTCAATTTAAGTACGCATAAGGATCTTTTTGAAACCACTACAATCGATGGAAGCTTTTGATCCATTGAGAGCATGCAATGTGTAGCTTTAAAGCCACCAACATCTCAGCCTAGGCTCATAGCTAGCGGAACTTCTAACTCACCAAGACTGAAATTTGACATACCAAAACTAACTCAAACGGTTGGAGAACCATCCCCATTATCACAAAGAAATACTAAAATTACATGGCAGAAATATCAAAGCCTTTCTTAGACTAAAACATAAACAACTAAAACCTAAAGCACGATTTCAGGGTAGGAAGAACGGTTCGAGGGACAAGCAGCGAAGCCGACGAGATGCCTTCAAATAGTAGAAACCACCACCGTCAACATCTGGAGTTGACACCACCTTTAAAACAAGCTCACTATTGTTCAGAACAAACCCCGAAAGAGTACAACCACCAGATGAGGAATGCATCAAAAAATGCCTCCAAACAATCCAAATTCCATCCTCTAAACAAAATCAATTTGCCCCAATGAAGCTACCTCGTCAAACACAACCATTGTCATCAGAAATCCCACAGCAGTACGAGCCTTGTAACTAATTTTTCAGGACTGGAGGTCAAGCAATGCGCTCGGGGGCGGTCTAAGAATTATGGCCAACTCACTCTCATTTTTTCTCTCTCGTTACTTTCATACGGCTGGGTGCTCTTTTCCCTTGAAAGTAGTGATTGCATATTGTCATATAACCAATATACAATTTCCATGTCTCTCTTTCTCTCTCTCTCTATATATATATATTTATGTGTGTGAAGACGAGTTTTCAATGGTTACATTTTCATAGTGGTTACTGCTATTAAATATAAATGTTTAATAACATGTCATGATTTTAGGGCCCGTTTAGTTCGTTGATTCAAGTTTTTAATTCGAATTGAGATGTGACTTTATGTGAAAGCTTTTTACTATAGCAAAAAGTTTGATGTGATTGTTTCTGAGAGCTTTTTACTGTAGCAAAACTTGAATTTTAAACTCGAATCGGTAAAATGAATGGGGTCTTAATATTTACTCAAATATTTGTTCACCAGTTAGTATTATTGTTTCAATCGTAGGAGATTGATCTAACGATAGCAATAAATTAAGTAGTATACCAAAAATTTATGATAATTAATGAGATTGGATTCTTTTCACGCTATATTATTAATTTTTTATATTCAATATAAAAAACAAGGCATACAACCTAAAACAACAAATATTTGCACTATTGTATAGTAATTCATAAAGTAATTTGGTGATTACCCTAAGCAACTTATAAAACAAATTTTTTAATCGTTCTAATAAATCTATAAGAAAGTACCCCTAGTTTTTATTTGTTTTTCTTCGTACTAAAAAAAAAAGGTTAGCACTGCAGTGTAAGAATGTACCACATGGGGTTAGTTTTTAGATTTTACTATATGTATGAACAGTAGCATCATTGCAAGCCTATACCATAGGCAGAATCACATATATGCATATAGTCATGACCAAATCTCACTCTATATGATTGCCCACAAACCGTTTTCAACAATTAGAAACCACTATATATATATATATATCAATAATTATTAAACTACTTGTTAGTCACATTCACACAAAAAAAAAAAAAAACTTTTTCTCTCCCCATGATCAGACGATCATGATCGTCCATTATTGTTGCACTCCTACATAACCACTTTCATCATGACTAGTGATTTTGTAACCAAATTTTGCTAAAAATGAAAGGGCCTTCTTTTTCCCCATTTCGGCACCTATGAGCAGTACCACTACTGCAGTGCTGCTGCTTGTTTCCGCCACAACCTGCTTATACACATATATGTGTGTGTGTGTGTGTATATATATATATATATATATATGTATATATGACTGGTGTGTTTGGAAATACTCACACCTCGACACTCTCTGTGGGTACCATATAAACTATTAGATCATGCACGGTTCACGCGCTTTTGCTCGATGCGTGTTCAACTCATGCCCTTTTGGATAAACGAAGGTTATTTTTTTATTTTTTATTTTTTATTTTGTGTGTGTATGTTTGATGGGTATATGGTAATTTGGTTTAGTTTATCCTCTAGGGTTTAGTTTATCTGTTTGGAAAAACGTCCAGAAACGGACACGAAAATTATCTGGTATTTGGATAGTAAAAAATAAAAAAAATAAAAAAGTAACAAAAACACTAACCAAAACACACTATCACCACTAATGACCTAAAAGGAGACCAAATTTTAAGCCGGTTTTACTAGATTATATGTGTGTGTGTATCTACATACATACATATATATATATATATGTTAGAAGCTAATCTCCTTTGTCCAAACAACACAACATATATACTCATCTCCCCAATCTTAAAAAACCCAAGAACCAAAACTCCGCCTCTTTCAAAATCCCCCCATTTCTCTCTCAAAATCCCTCCATCTCTCTCTCTCTCTCTCTCTCTAAAAATATTTTTTTTTTCTAAGACCATATGTCTTTACCCTCACTAATATTCATGGCTCCGGACGAGACAACCTCACAGGAAGCAGCCGCCGCCGCCGCCAAGCCAGAATCAGCCGCGACAAAAACAAGAGGAAGAAAGCCCTCAAACAAAGCTCCGAACAGCAAGAAGCAGCCGCAAAGAGGGCTCGGCGTTGCTCAGCTCGAGCGGCTCAGGCTCCAAGAACACCGCAAGAAGATTACCGAAATTCCCCACCTCCACCCCTTTAATTTCCTTCCCGACCACTTCCATTTCCCCGCCGCCGCCGCAGAACCGCTGGAGAGCGTTCCGGTGCAGTACGGCGCTGGGGGCTACGGGGGTGCCCATCGTCTGATGGCCGCCGTTCAACAGCAGCGGATGGGTACTAGTGCTGGGTTTGGTTGCGGGTCCCACTATCACTATCACCAGGGGGTTAATAACGTTGGCTCATCAGGAGGCGGTCATCACGTGGTGATGATGCAGCAGCCGGCGCAGGACCAGGTTAACCATATGGTGGACCCGCAATATCCTTCTTATAATGGGCTTAGGGTTGAGACCTGCTCGAAAGAGCTCTCTTCAATACCAAAAACTCATGATTGTTTTGATATCTGCTCTTTCAAGGTGTTTTTATTTTATGATTTTTTTTCTAGGATATTTAGTACAGTTACATTGGTTTTTGATTTTCCGAGATTACCCATGTCTTTAAAAAAAAAAAACAGACATTTTTTGTGTACATTACTAATGTTTGTTTGTTTTTTATTTTTTTATTTTTATTTTTTGGGTTTGCAGAAGAAGAGATTCAATGGTGACCAGATGAATGGAGGGACAAGAGAGATATTACAAATGGGTGGTTTGATGAACTTCTTTGGTCATGGTCCAAACTCTTGCACTACAGAAAATGTGTTATCAAACTCAGCCGGAGAGTTAAGTCTTGGTTTCGGTACTACTCCCCAAGCAACCACAAGTTCAATTAACATTCCCCAAAATATTATTAATCATGATCATGAGGTACAATAAACATCTATATATAAAAATTTTTCATTTTTTTATATAAATTTTATAATCATGTTTATAATAAGTATGATTTTGATTTGGGGTTTTTCTTTTTTAAATTTATTTTTAGGGAGTGGAAGTTGTGGCGGTTCATAGGAAGGGAAACCCAAGTGTTAATGGAGAAAATGTGTTCATGGAATATGAGTTTTTCCCAGGCAAAAACGACAATATTACTAGTATTGGATCATCAGGCACTACTTCCAAGATGATGCAGATATTGCCTAAAGAATTTTCATCTTTGGGTCATGGGGAAGAAGCTTCTTATTATGCCAATGCCATTACTACAGCCACTAATAGTACTACTTATGGGGCAGACACTTTTAATCCTCTTGATTTGTCTCTCAAGCTTTAATATGATCACGAGACAATTATATTATTATTACTATTATTTTTAGTTATTTCTTGGTTTTTCTGTTTACACAGCCGTTTGGTTTAATTTATTTGTTGATAAATTAGCCTTCTATGTCATATATTATTATTATTATTAGTAGTATTATTATGTATTAGTTCATTTAGACACGCTTTTGCTCTTGTTGTCAATCTCTCTTGGTTTAAACTTGTCATCAGTTGATTTCACGATTAATTGCAAATCTAATGAATTCATATCTTCTTTGCTCTCTCTCTTTCAGGGTTTCCTAGTAATTAATCTCTGACCAAATATTGGCTGGCTTATATTGTGCACAAAAAATGTACCATCTTTATAGGGGGGAAAAGAATCTTTAGTAAAACCTTTTTTTACAAAATTGAATCGCTAATTTTGCATGCCAATTAATTAATTAAGCCGGATGTGGACCAAGATATTATTCAGGTTTTCAGCCACAAAATCTAGTTTCTCATTATTATTTTTTTCCATGTATTCCACTTCTTCACTCCATATAGATTTTACATCTAATCATCTTTTATTGTTTATGCACGTTACCAATTTAAGCAACTCAAAGTCAATATAATTAGTCTTTGAAAAAGTACATAAAAACATTATTGAGCATATTTTGTTAGGCTATATATTTGTATATGTGTGTTTTCAAAGAGCCGGTTTTTACAAAATCTTTGTACTTCATTTTAGCTAGATTGATACAGAAACGGATCATTACTTAATTAATAAAGATACATTTGATGACATTATTACCAAGGTAAAATTGAGTTAAATTGAACCAATTTTGCAGGCTGTAATAGTACTTAATTAAGAAACTGTTATCCACTTCATTGCTGATGAAAACCCTCAAAACCCTCTTCCTAACTATCTCTGAAAAGGGTTTTGTGTCTTCTACTATAATCACTTCAAAAAGGGCTCATAATGAATTAGAAAATAATTATTACCTTCAAAAAAAAAAAAAAAAGAGAGAGAGAGAGAGAAAAGTAGTTTCTGTTCTAGAGTTAGTTTAAACCTTTTATGTGCTGCAACACAAAGGATGGATCTCTTGGCTTTCTGTTTATGGGAGTCAAGCAAAAGGGGTTGTGGTATTTTTCTTGAGAAACGTGAAGAAGCAAAAGGAAGAGAAAAACAGCAAAATATATTTATGTCTGGGGAACTAGTACAAGCTATATAGTGATAGGATATAACCTGCCAATCTTTAACGACACTGCTGGTCTGTGATCACTGATCAGGGAGTGGCTACTGCAAAAAAAAAAAAAAAAAAAAAAAAAAAAAACCTCTGATTATATATTCATCAGTACTACGCCCACATTATACTAGGCTATGCAATATCACACTATATATCACAAAAAAGAAAAGAAAGAAAATAATACTCGGAGCACTAATAGAAGGTGAATTCCACAGCATTATCCTCACCAATAGTTATGGTCATTTTTTTTTTTAATTATCGTGGTTATAGACACTACTATAGTGTCGTCAAGTATTTTTCATCAGAAGAATAAAAAAAAAATGCATCAGAACATATTCATAAAAAGAGTGCCTATAGAACAAAAACACAAACCAAAACATAATGGGACCAAATTCTGAGTTGGTTTTATTTACCATGAGTATATATACATACATACAAATATGTTTATATCTTATACAAACTCTAATTATATTCAGCAGTGCTACACCTACGTTATATTTATACCAAGCTACTGCAATAATACACTATATATGATCAAGAAAAAAAAAAAAAGAAAAAAAAGAAACCAATCCTAAGAGCAGTAATAGAAACTCTGTCTAATGCCAGACGCTAATAGAAGATGAAACCCATAGAATTATCCTCACAAATAGTCCTTTTCCGCAGTTTTGGATAATATTCGAGTCCTCAAGATTTTTTCATCACAGAAATACGAAAATACATTGGAGCACTACATGATCTGAGCACTGCAGCTTATAGAAAATGAACCTTGTTGCTGTGAGACCAATATATATCGTTAATGTATGGTTTTGGGCAAATGCCCTAACCAAAGTATACGTATTCAGATATATATATATATATATAAGAAAACCCACAATATTACGGTACAAAAGTAACAAAACTCTGAGATGAGTATAAATATGTGCAGGCAGGCAGGTGACTGTGAGTCTGTAAGAGTACTCTCAGTAATAGTAGTAGTAAGCTGGGCTATGGCCTATGGAGAAAAGCGTCTTTTGCAACTCCCTTTCAATTGGTTCCTCATTCATATCAAGCCCTTAATGGCCAGCTTTTCGGCCTTTTCTCTTCCTCTAATTTCTTGCGCTATTATAGTTTTGGAAAACCATGTTAGTCTTTTCTTTATTATTAATATTTTATGTTCTTTTTATCCATCTTCATGTGTTGAGTCTAAATGTGTCTTGAGTAAAGTAGTTTTTGTTGATTTTTTGTTTATCCTTTTAATGTGCTTGGAAAGCAAATGTATTTTATGTTGAAGCTAACACTTCAAAAATAAAAAAAAATGGTATTCATCTCTATGGCGATAAATTCTCATCACTTACAAAATGGTGGGTCTTATTAGGTTGGGTCACACCTACCCACCTTATTGAATAGCGAGATTTTAACCATAATGGAGTTTAATTATGTGCTCTTCTAAAATATATATGCTATGATATCAGAATATTGAAAGGAATAATAGGGACGTACAAAACAAACTATATATATGAATACATGGGGTTCTAAGCTTTGATTTGGGTACGTATCTAGTACTGCAGTCATGTTGGGGAAGGGAAACAATGCAATTTATGTGAATAAAACAGCTAATAATTCTTTGATTTGTATTTTTTTTTTCAGAAATTTTTCTTAACGACCCGGAAAAAAAAAAAGTGAGATTTGATGCTTCACATTTGTAGAAGGGAATAAATACTTGGTATTGTTGGGTACAAAAGGTGCTGGTAACTCCAAAGATTTAACATGTTTGGTCTTTTTAGGCAACCAACTGGTCGTCTTACTTAAAGGCCAAAGTATAGTTCATTTCTTCTTTTCTAACTATAGATTACAGAGCAGGGAAAAAAAAAAAAGAAAAAGCATCAATAAGGTAAAAAAAAGTTAAGAAACATAAATATGAATAGATAAAAGAAAAAGATAACAAAAAGCGTGGACGGCAGGATTCGAACCTGCGCGGGCAGAGCCCACATGATTTCTAGTCATGCCCGATAACCACTCCGGCACGTCCACAACTTGTATATTGTCCAGTAAAGAATAATTATATTCGAGATAGCATTGCATATAAAAAATATATATTTGCATTTATATAATAGTCTGTTTAGGGAGAATATTTTAAGTACTATACAATAAAACACAACAAAAGACCAAAAGCTAATAATGAGGCATGTTTAGGAATTAATTAGGATGCCATGAGATGAAAATTAATGGAACATCAAACTACGCTGATAGAAACGAAAAAATAAAATATATATAAGGTTCAATTTCTTATTATTTCCTACGGATCAGCTTCTGTGCAAAAAATTATATGTTAAGCCTGTTGCTATAAATGTGAAATTAAAATTTAGTGGATGTTTGGTTCATGGATTCAGAACTATTTTCGGTTTACGTGTGTTTTTTGTGAGAGAAAATACTGTAGCAAACCACGAACCATGAGTCGAATCATGACACGAATCCACCAACCAAACACACCATACTCTACTGGTTAATCCCATGAGAGGACCCTTACTTAGAGGTCAAATGGTACCAAAGAAGAGATGTATTATCATCATCACATGATTTAACTAAACGATGATCGATATATGTATTTTGATAATGAATAATGCTTGAGATCTCAAATTTTAACACCAACTAATATAATATACGAGTTTTTTTTCTTTCTTTTTTGTGAATGTTCAAAAAAGTGTCATTCAGCTAATATTGTCCAATCAAAATCTAGTCCAAGTTTTACCCCTAAGATCTCTCCCCACATCGTAGGCGCTGGGTGTAATTATTTATTCTTAAGAGCGTCTTTCATAGTGAGAGAAAACAAGAGCGGGCTTAATCATACACCTCTCAAATCATTATTGTGTTTTAGAAAATCAATTTGCAGTAAGTGACGGTGACGAAGGTGGATGGTCTACTTCGACCAAAGGCGAGCTGTGTGAGCCGAGAACTGTAGAATACAATAAAGAATCTTTTTGAGCTGCTGCATGCAATTGCCTTGTAATAAGAGTCTTTTTGAGCTCATGTCTTAGCACCTGTAGTTGCTTCCCAAGTTGGGGTTTTGGCCACAAATACAATCAAGAATCACATTTGGTATGTATTCATAAATTTTATTCATGCATATGATTATAAAGTTAATTGTTCACTGAAATTATCTGATTATTGCTGACTTGTTTATAAAGTTAATTTTTCAATAATATTAAAGAGATATTGGAGCTAGGATTGGAGTATAGACGGACAAAAACCCAATTAAAGAGATATTTACTGGGAATGTGGATACAAGGAAATCATATTGTGGATTAGTGTTCATGGGTTATGGTGGCCAGTAAGCTCGAGACTTGGTTCGAAACTAGTGGTAGAACTATCAAACCACAGAAAAGCGGATAATATATATCTGCAGCAATATAGTTGTTAAGGAGTCATTATGGTTTTAGGGACTTTTAAATAAGTTGGGAGAGCAACAATATTCGGTTAATCATTGAACAATTCACGTGACTGGAAATCAAGTGTTTCAATGAAAGATCGAAACCAATTAATGCAGCTATTATACCATATTCGAGATATTATTTGTGGTGGAGCTGTGAACATTTAAAAGGTAGCTACTGAGGAAAATCCAAAAGCTAGGCTCACCAAAGCATTCCTAGGCAGTAAATTTCAACATTGCTTGGACAAGGATCTAGATACATGTTGTGAGTAGATAGGCCCCTCAAGGCTCATGGTAGGCAAGGATCTATGATAAATACTGGCTACTGAGTTAAAAGGTGGAGAATTGTTAGAATATTAAAGGCCGGTTTCGCAAAACTTCCTAAAAGCT